ATGGAAAATGTCTTTTTTTCATTTTCTTGTGCTTCTCTGAGCCTTATTTTCCTTGTGTGATAGGCTAATGATCAAGGCTATGGAAAGAGCAAAAGTCATAATTTTCAGACCAATTGAAACTTGGTGATATACATTAGAAGCATTAACAATTCCAGAAAACTGCTGCAGGAGCTGGATATTTGGCTCTATATCCCGCAATACCCCAGTATGACATCATATCTTTCAGCAGATGAACTACATCACACCAGGACCTCAGTGGACCTCAGTTCACATTGTGCTTAGCTCCTTGACAATCTCCCAGGTGAAGGTCACTTTAGCTACCTTGCTCTCCAGTTTTCCTTGGAAGGAAATCAGCTAGGTCTGTTCACACCAAAGTACAAGGGCAGCTCTGTAGATAGCTCACTACCAACCCTTCCCAAACAATAGCACAGACCAGTCTGCACTCTGTAGGCTCTGCTCAGCATAGTTCTCCAACACTATTGCAAAAAAACTCACATTCCTTTCTGTCATACTTCAGAACATGCAGCACATGCTTTAAGATTCATATAATGAAACCTCCACTCCAAAAGACTGAAACACAAGTTACATGATACACTTGAACTGGAAAAACACATAAAAAATAGCAACTTGTAAGGCTGCTCTTGTGCTGTGTTTATACAGAATTTAACACTACAAATCCACTTGCTACTAATGCAGGGTTGAAAGCAACATATAAAAAACACTTGCTTGTAACAAATCCTGAATAGTTGCTTGGATTTCTGCATCTCTTCCTGGAATCTTAATTCTGGCCTGTGGCCACCGTGTGGTGTCAAAAGCCCAGTTGGCATTTTTTTTTTCATTCCCAGCACTTCCCCAGGGGTTCCACTCCCCAAGATTACCTAGCTGCCACATTTTTTCAATTATCTCATGCAGGGGATTTCCTGTTTCATTAATCAAAAGGGTCTTTATTGCATTTTATATGCTGGGGGAGAAGTCTTAATCAGTCTATGTCTCATGGTAACAAACGGGGATTTCGCATCCAAGTATCAGTGTCCCCAGTAAAAATCGCCGCTTTCATTCCTTCCTCCTTCATTCACTGTATATAATCTCACAAGGCATACCACAGACACTCAGACCCTGGTTATGCATTTTCTGTGGGGTATTTTATACTATATCCCTGAGTAGCTGTGGCTAGCAAACTAGTATCCTGTGCATAAGTTTTAAAGGCATTCTCTTTAAAAGAAATTTAGGCTTAGCACCAAGAATTTCTTTCAATCTCCAGCATCCAAGGTTATGAACAAGAGTTAGAGATTGCTTAAAGAATCAAGGTATCAGCAAAAACTAGATTTAATATTAAGTGACAGCATGACAAAGTTTGTTGACAAGATCTACTCTACTACTTACAGAACAGTTATGGCACCCCAAGTTAAAAGAAGCAACCACAAAGACAAATAAAAGCCAATCAAAGCAGAATTGAACAAGGAACTATCTGTGTGTGTCTGTGTATGTGTGTGTGGGAGAGAGAGAGAGGACAGTGAGGCAAGGATAAAAAGGAATAAGGCTTAAAAGCTTAATATCACTCAACAGTACTTTAAATTACACTTTAAACTTAAAAATTTAACAAAGGAACAACACCTAATTTATGACTAACTTAACCTATAGCTTAAGTTATACCTTAACTGTAACCATTTAACAGAAGAATCACACTTAACAGCATTTAAACTAACTAATAATTTAGAACTTAACCTTACTTATAGGCCTAGCTTACTGAGATCTCAGATTGCAGTGCATCAGCAGCAGCTACAAACACTTGCATTTGCAACATTATATTGGCCCTCAGCTGTTGCACGTCCTTGTCTTGTCTGTTTTCAAGCTCTGTATTCTTTTCAACTGCAACTTTGTATGCAAATAACAGACATTCAGCCATGCAGCTAGCATGACAAAACCACTCTTTAGAGCATTTTTGAAGAGTTTGCACAAACTTTCCCCAATATTTCAACACTCCCATGGGATCTTCAGCCATGGCTTGGGCTCAATACTTGCACAAATTTCTAGCTTGTCCCACAGTGTGCTCCACAGTTCTGGTGTCCACCCCAGTTGCTCCACTGGTGGAGCCATGGCCCGAGGCTCCTTTTTATGAAACATCTTTAGCAATGCACTCACATCAGGACGTGATAACAACAACAGAAATAGTGAGGACAATAAATCTGAGACATCATCCAGAGACACCACAAATGCAAAGGACTAAGAGTTCTTCCGAGCAGAATCTGAAATGTACTTGAGCTGTGTTTACAATGCACTGCACAACAAGTGTGTAACAGCGATTACGCTTTGGACACAGAAAAACATTACTAAGTTCCCATACACAGCTGGGTACTCAGACTAAGTCTTGACCTCCCATATGCTACACACACAGAACAGTGTCTCTCAGTACAGCTATGTGTTTCACTTTCTTGGTGCAACCATGCGCCCCACTGCCCAAGCACTGTCCTTTCTTTATATCACTTTTTGTTCTCTAGGCATCCTCATTGCCATTAATGTTAAGGGCTCTGGAGGATGCCCATGCACAAAAAAACCCCATAAAACCCAACTGTGATTGCAAAGGAGAGTTGTTTTTATTACATGCAGTACCAAATAATACATACCAACCCCTGGATTTTTTGGAAAGCCGATGAGCAAGAGAAGGAGATGGAGCATGGTGCTCAGGTGGGAGGGGCAGGCAGGCACTGCACCTTTAGGGACTACCCTGGATCGAAATGGCATCTTGTCCTCTTCAGCCCCTCTGCACCAGAACCACACCTCATATCTCCTCCTCTGGGAGTGGAATTTTTCCAGTTACGACATCATCTCACACTTGGCCAGAGTGTGAGATGAGACCATAACAGCTCACGATACCACCTCCATATTAACAACAGCTCCATTGTATATTGTTCTTCTTTCACAGGTTATGTTCCCATCAATTGACCAAATACATAGTTTCACCTAAGGGTCAAGTTCCCACAGTTGAACAGTAAAGTTTTCTCATTGTGTTTTCTTCATTGTCTTATCTTGTCAAAACTGGTAAAAGCTGTTCAAAACTGAAAAACTGTATCCATTGTTTCTTGATTACAGTGCCTTACAAGGGCTTTGCATACATGGTGAACTCAACAGAAATAGCACAGTTTTGGTCTTACTACTTGATTTTGGAAGAAAGTCTAACACTCTGTTTTTCTGCTCCCCTTTAAATGGAAATAATCACTACAATTGCTCTCTGTTCTTCTAAGATGTATCAATCACTACTGGGAGCTCACACCAAACTCTTGTCAGTAGTATATAGAGGGATGAAGGGTTGTATGAACCTCTGTGTCATGAGCACTGCTGCTTTCAGGACTGGCTAAAAAGTGAGTTACCTAAAGAAAATATTAGCAGGTGTGGGAATTGGCATACAGTGACACCAAAGAGAGAAGGCACAAAAGTGATATGCTAACACACACTGCTGTTTCATTAAATAAACTCAGAGTTTTGACATCTCAACCAGTCATCTGGTAAAATAAAACCAGATGCAATGGAAAAATAAGTACTATGCTAATAACAGAACATCAGGACTTTTAAGATAGAAGCTATGGGCAGAAAATTCAGTGTCACCCAGTAAGTAGCTAATAAAGGCTTTTTAATACATGTTGAGAAGAAAGTAATTAATATAGGAACAGTCTTCAGGAAGTTTTTTGCTGTCTAACCATGGAAGATCTTTTCAACAGATCTTATCTGCTTTTGTGAGCATGTTCTCTACAATGACAAACATCTTGTCTTATTATAGACTTATTGTCTGTGTTCAGGCAATATACTTACCCCTTAATTTTGTTCAGGGTTTTCCTACAGGACTCCTTGCATTTTCTTACCAGATGAATACAACCATATGATACCTCCAAGACTGAGGCCCATGATAAGAAATAACTATTACTTCTGATGAATTAATTAAGAGTAGTGCAACTTACTTGAAGAGACAGTGTGCATTTTTGGAAGAACAAAAAGAATGGCAGTCTTAGACTAAGTCTTTGTTTCACAGCTACCAGGGATATATGTTGAGGAATGCACCTGGTCAAGGTAGCTTAGCTTGCAAGCTGCAAATTGAGATGCCTGAGAGTCTTGTGAATGGTCAGGCTGAGAAGTTTCCTTAACATATGATAGCCAAAATAATGCATGTCCTTTCTTGACACAGTCAGGGATCCGTGGAATTCAAGAATGCTATTTCCATTAACATTTTGATCTGCAAGTAGACCACCAGCATCCTGATTGCAAGCTCTGAGTTTGAAGAAAAATAAAAACATTAAATGCAAAGGAGAATGAACAAGTCTTTAACTGGTTGATTGCCTTTTCCTTTCTTGCGATTCTTTGCTTTGAACATGTTTCACAACTTATGAGTACTAAGATATCTAAGAGCCCTGAGTAACTATAAGAGACACCTGCAAAATCTGAGCTTTTGCCAGTCAATTACATTTCTTTCCCCACAGACTCTCATGCTCTCGTGCTGCTAGGAGAGACAAAGAAAATGAAAGGCATCAGAACTTGCTGTGGAGCTTGCTGCTGATCTATTGCAAGCAACTGCCTGGATCTCCTGCTGAGCCTACTTTGCAAGCACCAGAGTGATGGAGAGTATCCCAGAGCAGACTGCATGTTCCCTGGGAGAGGCACCATGTCATCTTGCCTTCCTAGTGGCACTGTTTTATGTGGGCTTTTCCACAGCACAGCAATAAAGATACTGCAGTGCCTTTCCCCTGCCTTGTTGCAGAAGAAGGAACATTCATCAGGAATCATCCAATGCAGATGGGAAGCATCACCTGTTTTACTCTTCTTTGTAAAGCTACTAAGCTTTGTAATAATCTGGGAAGAGACAGTAATGGGGGCAGAGAGATTGGGAAAAATGAGTGCAGGAGGGCAAGAATGCTCTTTTAAAAGCAAAGGAACTTTATTGCAAACACAATTTCTGCTAACTACTGAGAACCATAAACCCAAGTAAAATTAGTGATTTTTTACTCCATACATATAGCGATTTTTTTAGAATTTTTGGTAGGTAGTTTCATATTTGAATAGTTTTATTAATCTTCTGTAAGGCAGCAGAGATGCTTTGGTAATTTTGCCATCTGTATACTGCTCAGCAAACAATGGTGATTCATGACTGCTCGTTGACATTTGGGTGGATACCTCTCTGATCACAAGTTTCAATGTCAACCTCAAGTGATATGGATTCATTACATAACATGGAAAGTACTGGTTTGCAGAACACTACGTGTCCCATTCACAGCAGTGCTTATAGTTCAAATGTGAAAAGAGCAGGAGGATACTTGGATGGTCTATTACTCTCAGATAGTGGATTGTCCCTTGCCCTGTCTCAAGCTTTTTGCATTATCTTGCACAAATTGGGTTCACTTTCTTGATTAATCTTCCAAACAGAGATACTATTGCAGTGTTATCTCCTTGGTTGATGAAGCAAAAGCAGCAATGAAGATAAGAGTTGTCAGATAAACCTGCAAGATAACAGACCCTCAATCAAATCCAGAGTGCTACAAGTTCAACACCTAAGCATATAAAGCTAGGAATGTCCAGTGTTTACAAACCTACCAAGTGTCATGTGGGATGCAATGAATAAAAGTGAAAATTACACCAGATATCAAATACAAGCATTCCAACTGCTTGCAGAGGAGCAAACACGGCAGATTTGCTTTCAATAAGAGTTCATCAAGAAAATGAAGCAGACCTTCAGCTTCCTTGCACTGATTAGCTGCAGGTAAATTAAAAAGCAAGGTTAAAAAGCAAATGGCAGAAACTTGGCTATAGCATTGCACACCCTCCTGCCCACTGCCACTTCAGACCTACATTAACCATCATTTTTTGTATGTGCAAGAAAACAGTATTTCATAAATTAAATAACTACTCATACAGGATCACACCTCCCTCCCTCTCCCAGGGTGCTGAATCACGTCTGACATGTTTTTACACAAACACATTTCACGCTAAACATGAATCAGATTACCGTGTGGAACGAACTGTCGCTGCTCAGCAGCTACTCAAGTGGCTGTGGCCACTATCATGCCACTGCAGAAGCACACTCCAAGGAGACTTCTTTCTTTCCCAGACGAGGCAACATAAGCCTTGGCTGCTACAATTCCTCCCTTCGTACCAGAGGGCTGTCCCAACCCCAGACTCTTGTGAACGCTAAGAAGGGATAATGCAGCACACCTGGACGGGGCACCTGGCAGACCTCACACCACCGCGGCAGATGGAATTAGCGAGGGCGATGATAAGTGTGCAGTCTCACAAAGCCAGGAATGAGCACAAGCCCCTTGTCACTGTCACAGGATGCATCAGTCCCCAGCTGCCCCCGTGTGCCTCCAGCCTGCACTACAGCCCCAGGCTCGAGAGGACTCTGGAGAACGCCCTTGGGCAAGGAGAGGTCTTGCAAGTGCATGGCGCTTGCAAGAACGTGTCACATTTAATGCTCGCTGGTGAACAGGGGAGCACTCCATTCTTCCCAGAGCGGAGTCCAGGGGGCAACACTGCTTACTTGCTACAGATGACAAAGCAACATACGTAAACCCATAATTTTAAGATTTTGAAGTAAGTTGCAAGTATTCTTTCTGTAGAATGGAATGACCCCAGCCAGTTTCTTAACCCCCGCCCCCGCCCCAAATCCATAAAAGATTTATTGCATTTAATGAAACATCAGGAGACAAATTCCGTATCTAACAGTGTTTTGGAGTACAACCACTTATTGAATTATCACCCTTAAATGCTTATTTAGAGAGTACCCAAAAATACTCAGTGCCCTCTGGTGGTTTGAATTATGAAAGACAAGGAAAAAAAAATAAAAGAAACTACTCAAGTTTGCTCAGTCTCACAACACAGGGAGCACATGAATCTCACCTTCCATGGCAGTAGGGCCACAGCAGTTACTCTGGAGAAAAAACATCCCACGTTCTTCAGTCCATACCTGCAAAACCAGAGAACCTAACACAAGGTTTTCTAGGCAAAAAGGGTGGTATTACCATCAAAGTACTGGGCTTTGTGAAAAGTTTTTGATTTTCAACCTGATCCTAATTTCTCCAATCCTAAACCAGATCCTCCCCTTACAGAAAACAACAAATGCCTTAAACTGTGTTCAAAAGCAATAAAATTTATCTGCTAGGACTTTCCCATTCTTTCCAAATGGAAACACATTCTGAGAAATAAACTCCTCTAGCCATAGAAGTAAATATGTCTGGAGAACTCCATAAATTATCTGTGCTAAGCTTCTTAGTTACTGTATTTACCCCTGTGGCTCACATCAACTCCATATTAAGGGCACAGCCAGAGAAGCTTATAAAACACAGAGTATATGAAACAATAATTAGTAGCCAAGTAATATAATCGTAGCAATTTAATTGAGGACTACTTTAAGAGAGAGAAAAGGGAATGGGAGGGAAATGGGTAGTGTATATTTATGAGAACTGCTGTAGGGAAACGCACATAGAGGAAAACAAGTACTGAGACACAGGAACAGGTCGTCCAAAAAAGCTGTGGGTTCCGCAGCCCTGGAAGTGTTCAAGGCCAGGCTGGATGGGGCTTTGAGCAACCTGGTGTGGTGGAAGGTGTCCCTGCTTATGGCAGGGGGTTGGAATGAGCCTGTCTTTAAGATTTATTCTAACCCAAGCCATTCAGTGGAAAAATGAGTGACAGAAACACAATAGAAAAAGAACGTAAAGTAATAATGAGAAGCACTTTTCTCAGTGACTACACATCCTCGTAAGATTAAGCAATTTCATAAAAACAGTATTCTGTCTGTAGCCCTGGGAAATAACCTACAGCTTCACAGAGCTGAGGAAGGTCTCTAAATATATACAGAGTACTTCAAGACACAGATTTGAAATATAATTAAATGCTACTCCACAGAATGCATTTGGCAGTGATGGCTCCTCTCTCCCTCCTTGCCCTCAATTTCCTAACAGTGTGAGTTGTGGTGAGGCAATAAATGCAAAATTCACTTTCTTAGCTCTTTCCTGATCATGTCCACAAAAATGTTAGCAATAAAATAAGGCTGGTTAGAACTGGAAAATGAAGAGGTGAAAACTGGTTCTTCCCAAAGCGGACCTAGAGTTTGAGAAATATAAGAAACAGTGCAGATCTACTCTACTCATGAGACAAAAAAAAAAAACACCAAAAAAAACCCCCAAAAAAACCCCAAAAACAACAAACCCAAAAAAAACCAAACAAAACACCACCATGCTTTGACCCTAGTAAGCCTGGCAATTCCCTGGGAAGTAGAAGTTTTGACATTATTGAAATGCCTCCTCATTGCAGACACCCTGAATTTTATCTCTTCTTTTTTTTTCTTTTCCAAATACAGCCACAACAGGAAACAAAAGAAACATGAGTTCTGGAGCAAATGGACACTGTATGGAGAACAGACTATGCAGTTTTTGCACCCTTTTATTGCTTGTTTCTCCAGTTCTAAAAGAAACCTGAAGATACCTTGATCAGATATTCTTGTGGCTCTTCTGTCTTGCAATAAAGCAGCCTTGGATGCCAGGTTCTGCAGTCATTTCACAAACGTGCACTTTACCACAGGCAGTAAACACTGTCCCATCCCCTAACAGTGTTCATGAGTTGGTGTCTATTTCTGCATAAAACAAGATACAAAAAATACACCACTCACTCTTTTATAGCAGTCACAAACACTCATTCAAATCTCACCAGACTCAAAAATCAAATCTCAAAAGGGGGGGACCCAGAAATGCTTCCCAAGCACAAAAAGCCTTCTAGTCCCAACTACCTGTCAGAAGATGAACTGGGCGCACAAAAATCCCCCTCACCCTGGGAATGAGGCCCTGCCTTAAGGCTGGAGAACAAAGGGCAGTTTTACAGAGCTCAAGTATCCTATAACCAAGATACTGCCAATGAGAATTAAACACATCACATGCTTTCTCTCTAAGTAGTGAAATATGAATTGCTATAATAAAATCAAATCAAATTAAATTAAATCTCTAACAAAGGGCTAATAAAGAGATTCAGAAGATAGTGGTTTACTTAGAGATCAGAAAATTAGATTCTATGGGGAACGAATAAACTAATAAAAAGGAAATTTACATAGCTTTGTTACATTTCCATCATTTAAAGTAACACTTTAGGTCAATTTTACTACTGTATCTGTGTGTCCTTAAAATGCAAAAGCACAAGAAATAACCAGTTTTTTTCAACACAAGAACAAAGGGCAGGAGAAATCATCTAGCTGCCACTTTGCTGGTTAGACCTTGTAACCAGCCCGAATTTACTGGCCATTCTTTCTTCAGAAAAGCATTAAATCTTCTCAGAAAACCTTTTAGTAACAAGGTTTGTTCAATGACCCTAAGTGTTACATACTGCTGTCTCCTTTTAGGATGTTATTTCTCTATTAACATTACATGGGACAGCAAAAAACAAACATGGAAACAAGAAAATATGCACAAAGCAGATTTGGGCCAACCTATAATCTTTTCTACTTGCTGAGGTATGATATAAGGTATCTTGTCTCAGCTCACAGATGCATCACCAGTCACACCTCATCATTCCAGCAGCATACACACTGTTCCAATAACTCAAAGTGTGTAGACATACAACTGATCACATGTTTAAGTTTTAGAAAGCATCTGAAAAGGAAGAAGTAGCACCAAGGGAACTGATCATCTTTATTATGCAACAAAAAGACAAATAGAAAATAAAATACTTTAATAGGAAAAAACCCAGAACGTACAATTCAAACATAACATATTGAAACCATACATAATGCAACATGAACATGAAAACATTTTTAAGAAGCAATCTTTTAGTAAAGATGTCATATTTTGGGCATCACCCATCACAAATACACAGCTTTTTGCGCATGTCTGAGTTTCAGTGAGAAAGATCATGACCAGCAGCAACATATCTACTTGCTGAGGTATGATATAAGGTATCTTGTCTCAGCTCACAGATGCATCACCAGTCACACCTCATCATTCCAGCAGCATACACACTGTTTCAATAACTCAACATACAACTGATCACATATTTAAGTTTTAGAAAGCATCTGAAAAGGAAGAAGTAGCACCAAGGGAACTGATCATCTTTATTATGCAACAAAAAGACAAATAGAAAATAAAATACTTTAATAGGAAAAAACCCAGAACGTACAATTCAAACATAACATATTGAAACCATACATAATGCAACATGAACATGAAAACATTTTTAAGAAGCAATCTTTTAGTAAAGATGTCATATTTTGGGCATCACCCATCACAAATACACAGCTTTTTGCGCATGTCTGAGTTTCAGTGAGAAAGATCATGACCAGCAGCAACATATTCAAATAATTTAATTTTCATTAAACGTTTACCTAGTGAATGTATTGGATGCAATCTCTTAATATTAAAAGTACAAAATCTTAAGCAAGGCAGCACCTGCCAATACAGATTTTAAATAAAGAGGATAAGCATTTTGAAAGGTTTTTTTTAATATTGCATTAATACACACTTGTTGCTTTAAAATGTGTATTCAAGTCTCTCAACATTTAAACATGACTAAAATGCTCAGCAACTATGCATCAAGTGACAACTAATTATTGCTATAGAAAACATTTGTTTCCCAGAGTTTTATAACAGATGTCATTTCACTCGTAATTCCAAAGATATATTCAAGTAATACAAATAAGTAGTTCCAGCGTCCATGAGGCATTCAGAATCTGTATTGGCTGTAGGCATTTATTGCCAGATCATATAAACATTTTGTTGAATCTAAAAAAGTTAACTAGACTTACATCTAACTGTTAAACTCCTTAGGAAATGTATGCAGTAATAAATCACCATAGTATGTGGTTTTATTTTAAAAAGGTAAAACTTCATCATCAGGTACCTTGATGTTCTTTTCTGTATAAGGGCACTGTTTAATAGTTGGCTTTACTGAGCAAAAGTAAAAATCTACATTTTCTTCTGTTGGCTCAGGGAACCACTCCAAATCAGTATGTGGTCACACAAGCACTAGAGCTGACAGACAAGTGAGAATACACAGACGTATATGGGGGCAAACAAGGAAATTGGAATACAAGTTCCAAGTGTGGTCTGCTGTCAAAATACTGTATTGAGACAGTAACAAAATGCAAAAAAGTAGTTATAAAAAAGTGTATCAGCTTCAGACAAGGTTTTTGAAATAGACAGCTATATCTGAAATAGACAACTTTATCTGAATTTTAGCCAGCAATGCCTTCAGTAACATTTTATACTAAAAAAATCTCTAAGATAGAAAAGGCAAGTTAAAATGTATAGTGGGTTAGTTCCAACACTCAATAAATTAGAACTTTCAGTTCTGAAACGCATTACATTGTAAAATGAGGCATTTTGACCTTACCAGTTTTGGAATATGTAATATCTCAGCATTTAAAGAATAATCAAAACCTCTGTCTGGAGAGGAACAGGGAGGCAGGGTGCAAGAAGCAGACTGTACTTTGGCTGCACAACTGATACTACAACACATATATCACCATCTGGACTAAAAAAATTACTGGGGATGTTTTCCACCACATATGCAATGCTCATTAATAACAACAGATTGACAATGGGTGATGGAAACACAGTCAGTCCAAACAGGTGTATGTTCAGAACACTCTCGATTTAAAACTCCAAAATGTATGCTGTGCAGCCTTCTCTTCCCTTCTCCCTTTTAGTATTATATAAAAGATCCCAAAGTTTTTACAAATAGATTTTCCATTTAAATTGAATATTGCATTATTACTATTTTCTCCAATTTTAATGATGTTCCTGTGGGAAGGTGGAAATCTAGAACAGGAACTCTTAAAATATGTTGGTCACTATTTTAGAGTAAGTTTTTTTCTTCTCAAGAATTTTTTGAAGCCTTTGGATGCAGGAGATGTACAAGTTTTAAACAGCTTTACAAAAATAAAGTTTTTGTTGGTGTGAAGCCAGTTTAGTTATTTAGCTACACAGCCTTCAATGAAAGACAAGACAGACTAAAACTTCAGTTCCAAATGCAAAACTGGAAGTTCTTAAAAAGCTCCAGTAAGACCTGGTCACAGGCCAAAAAAGTATACCTTTTGCATGTCATCTTAAATTGCTCAGAAAATATGTAACCTTCCTTAGGAGTACAGAGAATACACTTCATCACATTAGTAAGCAAGCATCCTATTTTAGTTATTCCTAAAGAGGAAAAATAGATGTAGTTATTCCTAGGCAATGGCATCATTCTTTCTCAATGAAAGGTGAAAAACAGCTTTGTTCTGCATTGTTGATCAGTAGAAAAGAATTTTTTAAATATTTTAAGCTGTTGTTATTTTCAGTCACATAGCAATAGTAAAAAACAAATCACAACATCAAATAAAATTAGTCCTTGGTAGGACAAATGCCTGTCCTCGGCAGGAAGAGAAAAAAAATAAATTATCATCTCATAAGATACCTTAGAAGACAGCTGAACTTGAAGAAACCCAACAGTGCAACAGAGCATCACTGCATGTCTTTCTAAAGATACTTTCAAAGTTGGCTTTGGTGAATTAAAACATCCTACATTAATCATATGAACATGTAATTAACACAGTAGTAAAAGTTAAGAGAAAATCAAGACAAGAATGAGAAGTTCCAGAAATGTCCCTAATTCCACAGGGGCAGAACTCAGTCAAGATCATTTATGAGTGTGAAAAGAAGCTCAGCCCAAAAAGTGGGTACTGAAAAACATTTTTATTAATATACCCTTCGGATTGCCAACAGAACAAATTAATTTTTCTCTCAGATAATCAGTATGAAGATGAAGGGGGCTCTAAAAGTTCACATGACAGGACTCTTGAACTGCATTTTGGTATTGGGCTTCTTCATCAAGCTGAAGATTCTAAACAAAATGAAAACATCATCAAAATTGACAAATACTCAAGATGCAGCATAGTCATTAGTTTAATCATTCATTTGCTATGTTTTTACATAGGAAATGGCACCTAGATAAAGACTCTATGCTACTAGATGATTGTTTATATTGCACAGAATCTTTCCATTGAACCAAGTACCAAGAGACATATGAGACAGGAGAAGAATCAGTAGAGTAGGACAAGGCTCATTAAGCAGAAGGGTTCATCTTCTCTCCCAGGCTCAAGTGCATTAAAGAACAGCCAGCTCAGGGAAGCTGTGCCGTGCAATTCTTTTAACAGGGCTTCTAACCAGCCACAACATCCTCCATTAATAAAAACCAAAATGGGATCCTCAGACAACAGTAACCACAGATTGTTGAGAATACATTCCCTAAAATGGGAAAGCAAACACAGAACCAAAAGGTCTGCTGCTTTTTGTAGGAATATCTTTCAGGTTATTAATCTGCCAGAGAGATGAATCTTTTAACTGCAATTCTGGCAGTTTCCCCAAATCAGAATTCTTATCACCAGTTTTAGGTCATCAAACATGCACTCATGGTGAAGAGCCCAATCCCCCCTATCCAACCCTAGCTCTTCAGACCTTTATCACAGCTCACTCAACTCAAAGGACAAGATACATCATCTTTGCCATCCTGACCCAGTGAGGCTGCCTGTGACTAAAATACTAGACTTGTTGCACACCCCAAAGCCTGTCAAACTCTGTAGAAAAAGCCACAAACTCCAAACTCTCCAGCTTTCTGATCCCACATGCAGAACCCAAATGGTTGGCTTGACTTATGAATCAGCCACTGACTACATCTGTGTATGTAGTTCTCCATCTACTTAAGGTCATTTACTCAAAGACAGCCTGAAAAGAGACAACCTAAACACTGATTAAGTGACACATCTCTTTTTCAGTCTCTCTCACAACATACAGGAAGAGCAGCTGCAGCAGCAATACCAGATGGTCAATGCATATTGAGTCCTGAGAATATAACTTCACAATTTCTGTATTAAAAGGTCAATAATGTCCATAAAAACAGTAGCATCTATTTTACTTCCCCCAGAAACAGCAGTAATAAACTGTTCTAAAAAAAGAATAAAAGCAATAAATAGTTCAGTTTGAGAACACTAAGCCAAAGACTGATGAGATATCAGCTTGGAGCAGTTTGACTATTGACAACACCTATTTCCAGCAGTACTTCATGTTGAAAACGAAGTCTAAGAACAGACAGGTCTGCTTCTGAGTTCCATACACAACAGGAACACAGCATGTCCAGAGCACATGTTAAGTACAAAATTTTTATTTGGCAATTTGATTTTTAGGAAAAAAGTTCCCATTTATTCCTCCACACATTAAAGAAAAAAAGCTTACCACAAATTCTCCGTAGTCAAACCGGTGTCTTAGATTCAGATGGCTAACAAGATTTCTAGTAACCTGGTTAGTATCTGCCCATGGAAGAGATACACAAATAGGGCAGATCTGAATTTGGAGGGGGAAGGGAAGAGACAGAATGAAAAAAAAAAGTTATTGGCAATACAGAATGCATTAAAGACATGTTCTACAGGAATAACTAGTCTACTACTCATCCACTACCAAAACACAGTAAGACATTAACATCAAATCATTCTGCTAAGTGTGCTTTTCCTCATTTGTGTAACGTTCAAAAACTACATTTCAACTTGGTAGATTTCTAAAGCGTTTCTCTTTATAGTGAAATATTATCCTATCTGTCTGAGTTAATTTAGAAAAGAAAGTGACTACTGCATCCTACTTATTGTTTGGGTTTTCATAAAATTGAGATGATCAAGTAGGCCAAAAGGAAAAACAGCACACCCTATACAGATGAAAATAATAGAAAACCAAACAGATTTTTCTTTTTCACGCCCTTTGGTTACCTTGGATTACTTTTCAAGTAACTGCAGGTTTCACACGAAACAGTAGTTATATTACAAATGAGATTCTACAGAAACAGTCCTGAACTACTAAATAAAGAAGAGTTAAGCATTAGGCTCAAAAACTGAGCCTGTTTCACACCAAGATAAATGAGACAACTAAGTCAGAAATGCCTTAAAACCAGCAGGCTGGACATGAAACGTTTTCACATCAAAGTCACTCCTCAATTTAAATGCACTGTGTGAAGTATATTGTCTGTCTTTCTCAACCCACAGTGATTGTTACAGATATAGAGCAGCAACTGCACAGTTAAAATTGTCCACATAATTACAATGAAAGTAGCTTAAGAAACATACATAAGCAGCTCTACTTACCACAGGAACGATCTGATAAAGATGTCTATTATTACAGTGATCCAGCAAGCGCTGTCTGGTAAAATTGGCTTCCTGACACAGGGGGCATTTGAAGGTTGGGTGTCCACTGTAAACAGAAATACAAGAGCACTAAACAGAAGAGTTTCAGAAGTATTGTTAAGAAAGCACACAAATGAATCTGTCATTTTCCCTTACTTTGATATCAACAAAAAAATCCCCCACACCCCCACTGACATATCAGCAGACCTAATGGAGTCCCAGTGCTACTGCCATACTGCAATTTTGAAGTACATTTACAATTAGTATGCCTAAATGCACTCTTCTGAGACTCTGAGATTTGGACTTCTTTTGTTCTTTTGACCCACTGCAGCTACACCCTGGTTTCGCTTTCTTGTAACACCTTTTAGTGCAAATCCCTCAGGAAAGTACTAAAATACCCAAATGCTAACAAACAGATACAAGCGTACAAGAAACTACAGGATTCTATAAATACAGCTCCTGGTGTTTTTGTGTAGGTTTTCTGCGTTTTGGTTTTAGCATTAGCAGAAGTTTGCACTGTGACTATCAGAATCTATTCTAATAACAACCACAGACAAGTAAGCAACCTACCTTGTTTCTCCTTGAAGTATTTGATTATTAGCCATCTCACTAGTATCAGATATTGCATCACTCCTGCTACTTTAAATGAATGGGAAAAAAAAAACAATGAAACTTCAGGTTATTTTACTCAACTATCAACATTTTAAAAGTTTAACAGTAACAGAGGTGGGGTGGATTATGCATTAAGTCCCATGAATTCCAAGGCAATGTACAATGGCACATATCCTAACCCTCAAAACTTTTCCTTTGGATCAAGGTATGTCTCAGTATTTACAGAATCACCAAGGCGGAAAGAAACCTTTTGTCCAAATGTCAACCTAGCACCATCATAATCACCACTAAATCATTCCCCAAGTGCCACATCCAGGCACCTCTTGAACACTTCCACAGGCAGTGACGACTCCACCACCACCCTGGGCAATGTATTCCAATGCCTGACCATGGCCTCAGTAAAAAAAAAGTTTCTACTATGTAATCTGAACCTCCGCATGTAACTTAAATGGTGAAGCCATTTCACCTTGTTCTTTCACTTCAAGACATGGCAGAAGAAACTGACCCTCACCTCACTACAACCCCATCTCAGGTAACTGCAGCAATGAGGTCTTTGCTGAGGCTCCTCTTCGCCAAGATAAACAACCTCAGCTGCCTCAGCCACTCACCACAGGACTTGTGCTCCAGACCTTCCACCAGCTCCACTGCCCTTCTCTGAACTCACTCCAGCATCTCAATGTCTTTCCTGGATTCAGGGGCCCAAAACCAAACACATGATTTGAGGTGCAGCCTGACTGGTGCTGAGTATGGGGGGACAATCACTGCCCTGATCCTGCTGGCCACACGATTTCTGATGGAGGCCAGGATGCCACTGGTCTTCTTGGCCACCTGGGCACACTGCTGGATCGTGGCTCAGCCTCTGTCAACCAGCACCCCTCCTTTTCCATGGGGTTGCTTTCCAGTCATTCTTCCCCCACCCGTGGCAATGCCTGGGGTTGTTGTGACCTAAGTGCAAGACCCAACACCTGGCCTTGTTGAAGCTCACACCACTGGCCTGACTCCACCACCACCCTGGGCAATGTATTCCAATGCCTGACCATGGTCTCAGTAAAAAAAAAGTTTCTACTATGTAATCTGAACCTCCCCATGTAACTTAAATGGTGAAGCCATTTCACCTTGTTCTTTCACTTCAAGACATGGCAGAAGAAACTGACCCTCACCTCACTACAACCCCATCTCAGGTAACTGCAGCAATGAGGTCTTTCCTGAGGCTCCTCTTCGCCAAGATAAACAACCTCAGCTGTCTCAGCCACTCACCACAGGACTTGTGCTCCAGACCTTCCACC